CAATTAAGATCAATTCATGGTTCCGGAGTTATTCCGTTTTCCGTTGGGGTCACTGTGGGTCAGCATTCGGCTTTACTGTTCTGTAAATAATTATACACACGGTGAATATTATATTTTCTCTTTAAATGATGCAATTGGACCAATAGCGGCTATAACGATGGTTCATAATCACCTCGGGCATTCCGGAGAAGTTCCGGTACCCCCAGGGAAGTGGCCAATTCTCAACAAGATCCAAAACCGGGCGTAAGACACATCAAACATCATGATTTTACAAAACTTGGCCGGTAATGGATTTATTGACAGTCCCCCGGGCATGTTTCGGTGCCCCCGGGGAAGTGGCCAATTCTCGACAAGAATCAAAACCCGTCTTGCGACATATCAAACTTCATGAATTTACAAAACTTGGCCGGTAATGGGCTTATTGACAGTCTACGGTCACACTAGCCTTTTTGGCCGTGTTCCAGTGCCCCTGGAAATGTTCCGGTGCCCCCGGGGAAGTATCCAATTCTCAACAAGCTCCAAAACGCGTCGTGTGACACATCCAACTTCATGATTTTACAAAAATTGGTCGGTAATGGCCTTATTGACAGTCCATGGTCACACTAGCTCTTTCGGACATGTTCCGGTACCCCCGGGGAATTGGCCAATTCTCAACAAGATCCAAAACCCGTCGTGCGACACATCAAACTTCATGATTTTACAAAACTTGACCGGTAATGGTCTTATTGACAGTCTATGGTCACATTAGCCATACCGGGCATGTTCCAGTGCTCCCGAGGAAGTGGTCAATTCTTGACAATATCCAAAACCCGTCGTGCGACGTATCAAACTTCATGATTTTACAAAACTTGGCCGATAATGGCCTTATTGACAGTCCACGGACACACTTGCTCTGTTGGACATGTTCTGATACCCCTGGGGAAGTGGCCAATTCTCAACAAGATCCATAACCCGTCGTGCGATACATCAAACTTCATGATTTTACAAAATTTGGCCGATAATGGCCTTATTGACAGTCTATGGTCACACTAGTCCATGTTCCAGTACCCCTGGAAATGTTTCGGTGCCCCCGGGAAAGTATCCAATTCTCAACAAGATCCAAACTCCGTCGTGCGACACATCAAACTTCATGATTTTACAAAACTTGGCCAGTAATAGCCTTATTGACAGTCAACGGCCACACTAGCTCTTTCGCTCAAGCCCAAATCACATTCTGCAAGGCTATGATGACACCATAATTTTTAGTTTGGCTCTCTGGACACTGGAAGACTTATCAGCTGTTTCCAGATTCCCGGGTAGCCGGAAATTATTGGAAACTGAAAACACTGTGCTTAACGTTCTAAATAATCGTAATTGAATTTTTAAAGCTCATCAGACTCTATCTATCTCGTAACGGGTGATGCTTTTAGGCTGGTTATGGTCTGAGGTCATTTGGAATATTTCTAGCACTATCGCCCCGAGCACTCAATATTATCTATTTAATGTGTTTCGTGATAGATTTTGTAATGAATATGTATTACGGGTAAGAACCATTTTCTCGAGAACGCTAGGAACATGTTTTGATGTGGCCGATGGGACCCGGGTACTCAATATAACCTTTGATTATAACACCAGAATCATGGAACACAGAAGCTCTGCAAAGACTTTTTTCCATTTCGTGAATTTTCACTTCAAATTGACCGATGGAAAATTTTCTAATAACCCTGCTATTCTTGCAAAACTATTTCTGGCAGGCAAGGATTCAGTTTTGACAGACACAATAAAGGGAGTTTTGAATATTTTATTTATTTTCGAAGTGTTAAATTTTAAGCCAACATAAAACCATAGAGGTAACTCACTACAAGGTCCCGAAGAAACGTGCTCTCTTCGGTCCCAAGCTAATCGATGCACCCCTCGAAACATAGGAAAATCCACGAACCCCTCATTTTATCTGTCAAACTTTTATAGCGAATCAAAACAAACATAGTGTAGTACCATAGAGGTAACTCTAAGACCACTGGGTCCCGAAGAAAATCATTATTATTTTTGGCTCACTCAGTACCAGAACAACGGTCCCAAGCAGTCCCAAGCTATTTCACTCACCCCTGCATGTTCTGCATGAATCCACACACCCCTGATGTTATCTGTCAAACTTTCATAGCGAATCAAAACAAACATAGTGTAGTAATAGAATTTCAACTAGAATAGGGTACGTTAATCGTTTTCTTGGGACCAATAGGCTACTAAAGTAGTGAGCCAATTTAAAATCGTTAGTTTCGTATTGATTGTTGGTTGTACTAACATTTCTACTAGAATGGGGTACGTTAATCGATTTGCTTGGGACCAATAGTGAGCCAATTTAAAATCGTTAGTTTCCACCGGTTGATAAACCTACGTATATCATCGACCAAAGGAGGCATCGACTTGGGGAACTATCGACTTATGGAGAATACGATACATGGAAAAACAAAAGGACCACAGAATTCATGTGCTTTTAGAAAATATCGACTTGTTAAGAGTTGACTGTATTAGCATAAATGCGTCAAACCGGCCAAAATAACCTTCGAAACGTCAACGTGGTCTGTCCTGTGATGGCATAATCATTAGAAAATTGGCGTTGAAGGCGACTCTGTAGTTCTTTACTCCTATGGTAAAATCCATAAGCAAACGTCAGACTGTGCGTGAAACATGGCGGACTTCGTACAATCCTTTTAGTCCACCGAAAAATCCCATCAGAAATGTCAATCTTTTCTAGAAGAGATGATTTTTCGACGGTGCCGTCAACGCCAATTGGTATTTTTCCGAACTCATACACGCAGGCAAGAGAACGTAAGAATTCCATGAGAAACATTTATGAATTTTAGCCATAAGAAATGAGTGTGAATTTCATTGATTTGCCTTATGAAAAATAATGTTGGCAAAAAAATAATAATTCGGAGCAGACTGGAACCGGCAAATGGACGTTGGGGCTAGGGGGCCCGTGTGTTGACCACTCGTCTTTCAACGCTTGGGAAAATGAAATGGATAAAGGCATATAAAGTGGACTCTACACGATTGCTTTTATTGACAATAATCGTATTGTCAATACATTCTATATTGACGTCAGTACATCGGTATTGACAATATTTCTGTATTCACATTATCAATATTATTGTCAATACTTCCCCTTCGCGTCAATATATTGAAACGCTACCTCATGTTACTCGAAAATCATTCATAAGTCACGCTTTTGAAATTCATGTATGTTGTTCATAAGTTGAGCCTTATGAAATTCTCAGGTCTATTTGCTTCAGTGTACGCTCTCAATATCACGCGTTATATTGTAGTAAAATATTGTGCTTGATATTGATTTTACAAGCTCCTTTGATAATGCGAGACTATTCACAATGTGTAAAGTTGAAGCTGAGAGTTGAATCGACCCAAAAATGATTCCGTTGCAGCTCGTTTTCTTAGAAAGAGAAGGTATAATAATGCTATCCCTTTTTTTCTCTTCACCGCTGCCAGCCGTTATGGATGCTTCGGTTGCGTTGGGGTGTAAAGCAAAAATCATGAAACTCAATCTCACCACAGTTTGGTGAGATTTGCAGCTGGTGAGTTTTGTTAGCTTGATATTCCTAGCTGCAATATCACAGCTTGCAAGATCAACCGCAGTTGTTTGCTTGTTGATTTTTTTCAACGAAAATAAAGCGTGATCTTGTTCTTTAGAGAGATTTGATTTTTTGATATTTTCCTAACCTAAGAATACAATATCAAAACCAAACTTACATCAGCATTAAGATCTTTAGGGTTGTTGTGTGCCGTCTCTTCACTTGTTCCATGCCTGCATGTTGTCAAATAGTAAAAATCAAAGCTTAGCTAAGTTTAGGCTATCTGAACACATATCATTGGCTGACTTTTAAATTGAACATTAAATGCCCCTACTATAGACCAGAAAGAAAGATTACGCCTGTATTTCTATTGGAGTGGGTGATCCATAAAAGTTTTATATCTTGTATGAGTAGAATATTTTTCGTCTGTTATTTTTAAATTGAGACGATTCTATCGATGTGAGTTTCATATTCGATGTCCATCTTCACAGTATCTGACTCTTCTATGATGAGTAGATGTTTATAAATCAAATCAACTCTAAGAAAATTAATCAACGTTTCCCCTTACTCCCAACGCAGCATCCCAACAGACCTATCTCACTTAAAATTTATGACCCAAAAGCAAGAACACAAAAGTCTAGTCAGACAGTTTCCACCATTATTGTCACCGCAGCTCCCTCCAGTAAACATATGCAAATAATGCATCAGGGAACCACGCCGTTTCACGATCCCAACAACCTTGGACCTTCCGACGCCCGTCTCTCCATAAATCGATGGAGAATGAGCTTAGAATACCTATTTCACCGTCGGACACAGTCAATGAGCCGCGGTGCTAGTTCTAGACATGGATCATTCCCACGTCCCACACCGGACCGCAACCGTTCAGTGGGTCATTTTTGCGATAACCAGTGGGCATTGTAACTCGGAATCGATATTTTACCGGCATGACCGCGACTTTGACGACGACGACGACGACGGCCGACGGTAGTGGTTGAGTGTCAGATTACCTACCACCCGTCACCGCCGCCGCCGCCGACCAAATTTACGGTAAAGGGAAATTAGTGCTTATTTGTGGCATAGAGATATGCTGCTTGGAAGTTTACAGCGAAGGTGAGACATCGGTTCTCACCCGGCCGACGACGGTCGCCGTCACCGTGAGGTGTGTAAGTAAATATGCGCTCTTCCATCTAATGAGTTTAAACGTTAATTGTGTTAGTCTCGTGTTGCCACGCTGTGACACTGAGTGGACGGGATTTAGCTAAATGTGTTCTAATAAATGAAGACCAATTGCGTGAATTTCTGAAACATTTCGTCCCTAATTTGACAACAACAGAGAGGTACCGTTGATTGCGGATAGAGTTTTAGCCGGTATTCCTAGCTTCTTCAAAAGATTACGTCTCTAACACTTCCTGTTTTTTTTGCGTCTTATTTCAGAACTACCAATTATGGAAGTCAAGGAAAGGATACCACGACTTTAAGCAAACACCAGCAGCAGCATCAACTGTAAAGGTAAATCCATCCGAGCTGACTCACCTGACCTTTCAACCATTAGCCATCCATCAAAATAAACAACACCTAAGCGTATGTAAGAACATGCCACTCACACTAAAACTCGTTAAAAATACCGAAAACAGGATTCCGTCAAAGGTCGCGACCACGCTGTTTGCGTGGTGCATTCGCGATTTTTCTCGTAGATCCCAGCACCACCGGAATCGCTCGAGTATGAGAAGATGCAATCGCGAAAGGCCAAAGCCCACCGTCAAAGTCAAGGTGCTACCGGCATTGCCCCCGCTAAGTCCGTTTGACGAACGCGCACGGAACGTCGGTGGCAACATTTCATTAGGGCGAAACTGCTTTTGTAAACAATTACTGCAAATGAATGACGCCACCTGATGGTATCTGCACTTTGGCTGTGTGAGCTTTTATTCGCGAGAAACCGACGGAAGCAATTTCGCCCTTTTGAAATGTTGGCACCGAAGTGAAACCCAAATCGATGCCAGCCACCACGCTTTCACTCAAACCGCCTCCGTCTTCGATCGACGATGGGAGATTTATCAAAGTGCATTACACTTGCTCTCGCTCTCTTCGGGCGCCCTCTTCTGTGCAAGTGGTCAAGATCGCAGACCAAGCTGGTGTGGTGCTCTAACAGTTACAAGTAGCTGCATACCTAGTTCGTAAGCACTAGAGATAGAGATAGGAAGCAGAAATTGCATTCGAGTCAATGCCGCTTCAAGTCGTCGTCGTCGTCGTCGTCGTCGTCGTTTGCTCGCTAATAGGTTGTTAGACTCACTCCGCCATGTTGGGAGGACGGGCGTGGATGGGCGCCGTAGCTGCATTTGTTAAGTGCATTTATAGAGATGCAACTCGTCCCCCCTCCGGCAGTCAGTCAGTCAGTGAAAATGATTCGATGGAGAGTGAAATGATCTCTGATAATCTCTCGGATGGGTATTATGTGAGAAGCATGTGGAAAATGTGGTTCCTTCTCACGCGCGCGCGGTGATGGATGAACGGGTTTAATGTGCCGTTCTGAATGCGAATCTAGATTGTTAATGATGGTCTTTAGAGCTGGAAGCCATTAGCAGGATGATTCTATTCTGGAAAGGGTAGAATTGTTGTGGAGAGCGTTCTTTAGAAAAGCAATTGAGGCTTTCACTTTTGATTTGTGATTATTGAATCATGATAGGCAGAGCTGGAAGTTGGTCACTTTTGACTGAATAACCTCTTATTCTGCATGCAATCTTTGTTGGGAATTGGCATCAGTTATTCGTTTTACTTTAATTAGGGTAGAGAACTGCTTCGGCCTAACCGGCCATTTTCGGCATATCGAGCAGAAAACATCACATTCATTCAGTCAATTATATTTTGGTATTTTATGTTGACTGTTTCTATTTGAAACTAGAACAGAAACCAGCGTTGCCAGATATTTTTACAGCTTATCGGTATCAACAGTTTAAAGAAATCGGTATGTATCGTTATAGATAGCTTTATTAATTTTATATTTTTGCCGTTTTTGATGGCGCAAATTCAAACTTTTGGACCACCAAAGGAGAATTTGCTTTTCAGGTGAATTCGGGAGAAATTTCCATGCAATGTTTGAACTAGCTTCTGAAGGAAGCCGATAAAACTTCCAGAGAATGAATAAAGTATCTCTTTTGGAGGAAGTTTGAAGAAAGTTCTAAGAGAAATCGGATAAACTCCCAAGATATATATTGAAAAAACTTCTGGTGACGATTTAAAGAAGCTTTAAAAAAAAGGATGATTCATCCAGAGGAAGCCAGACAAGATTCGGAAATCTGAAACTGATTCCACGAGTAGCCATTTCCAGGAAAAGCCAGAAGAAGATCAGAAAAACCATCCAATAGTTGCCGGAAAAATAAACCTTCGGAGAATGGCTTATGGAGATAGTTCCAGTGGAAGACGAACCGTATTTCTGGGAGATTTCTTTTGGTAGAAGTATAATTGAACTTCCTGGAGAAGACGGAAGAAACTTCCTTGAGAAGGCGGAAGTAGCTTCCTAAAGTTTATTGGAAGAAACTTCTGGAGAAAGTCAGAAGTCAGAAGTCAGAGGGCTTACGGATCAGTCGAAAGAAACTTCAAGGAGAAGTTGGGGGAAAATTCCGGAAGAAAGAGATTTCTTGGGGATGTTAGCACAAGATTCCCTGAAGCTCCTTACATAATCTAATACTCCTGAGTAATTTTCCTAATTTTTCCTGAAGTTTCCTGTAGATTCCTAAAATGCACTTCGGGATAACACATAATTTTTTGAAAGTTCTTAAAAGTTTATGGGGCTGTTTTGAAATACTCTGATCATCCTCGAAGTACTTGGAACTTCCTTGATAATAATGAAACTACCAGAAAATCTCTTATCTTATTAGTAGGTATCCGAACTTTAATGAAGATTTCAGAACTTCTTAATTGCTCTCACAATATTCTTGAAATTAATGGAACATCAGCATTGAAGTTCTCTGATCTTCTATTTTTTTTTAAAGTTCTCGAAACATTCTTTAAAATGATCACACTATTTTCTTATCTTCATGTTACTTCTCTTACGTTCCCAAAATTGTCATGAGTCTCTCGATAAGCGGCGCCGGTGGTGTAGTGGTAAGCGTGATTACCACTCACCCCAACAGGCCTGGGTTCAATTCCAGTCGGTGCCACCGGTATGTTCTGAGACACAACATCTCTGAACACACCTTCATTCGGAAGGGAAGTAAACCCGTTGGTGCCCGGTTCATGAGTTGGTGGGTCGATAGGGGTAGGGTCCAGGTGTAGGAGCTGCCACCCTGGCATCGGTAGCATTGGTGCTCACCACGGAAAACAAGATCTACGGTAAACAAATCAAGGGAAAAGGGAGAGTTTTCTCGATAATTTGCTCAGGTTTTCGGAAATCCCCCAAATTTTTCGGAACTCCTTTTTAAGCAATTTCCTTTAAATAAATTGATCTGTTCTGATGTTCTCAGAGCTTCCCTAAGTTCTCTGAATTCTCCCGGAAAAAAATGGAATAGTCCTGAAAACCAGTAAATTTCCCTGAAATGCTTTGCACTTGTGAAGTTTCCAAAATATTTCTGATGTTTCCTTCGGTTCATTGGAATTCTCTGGACTTTCCTTAAATTCCTGGGTTCTTGAATTTTAACAGAATTTAATGAAACTTTTTTTAAATTCATCGGATTTTACCGAAAGTCTCTCACAATGGTTTCCTCCATTAGTTCAGCGTGGGCGGGCAGTCATTTTGATTATTAAAAAATATCGGTATATATTGGTATGAAATCTAAAAAAAATCGGTATTCTGAGAAACCATATCTGTTTATCGGTATCAAGTTCGAAAATCGGTATAAATACCGAAAAATTGGTATATCTGGCAACGCTGACAAAAACGCACGTCTCACAATGAGCAGGTTTGAAACACGAATCGAACTCTACTTCAAATTTCTTTGGATGTATTTATAGATGTTTCCATTAAATGTTGAGAGAACTTCTTAGAAGTCTGGGAAATTTTATAAAAGTACGAATAGTTTCACACACAAAAATCGAAGAACTTCATAGCGAAAAGTAACTTTATGGAACTTGTATTTTAAAAAATGTTTCAGGCAGAATCACTAAAGATCAATTCGTTTCATAGAAGTGTAAGATATTCCCAGAACTTATATGAGGTTAGCCGATATATAAGTTCTGGGAATATCATAGTACATTATAGAACTTCATGGAAATGCATGAATCTTCACCGAATTTAATGAAAGCGCTTTTGAGAAATTATTCCAACGATCTTCAGGTGTTCTAAGATCTCCGTGAAGTTCTCTTGATATTTTTTCAAGACTTTAGGCTGATCAGATATTATTCTAAAGGTCAATTCAAATTATGTTTATTAGATGTTCTCTCATGATACCAGGTTGCTCAGAAATTATTCCGTAGACCATCAAGTGATCAAAGATCCTCATGATAACCTTAGGATACCTTTTCAATACTTCAGATTGATCAGGTATCATTCTGAAAATATCCAACTATCCAACAATCCAAAGCATATCTCTCCTAAATATTCTCTCATATTATACTAGGCAGCTCAGAAATTATTCCAAACTCCTTCATGTGTTTTAAGATTTCCATAAAGTCATCTGGATACTTTTTCAAGACTTCATGTTGATCAGGTACTATTCTTTCAAACTATCCAACAATTCAAATCACATCTCCCAGATATTCTCTCATGATACCAAATGACTCAGCATATATTACAAAGACCTTCAGGTGATCATATATCCCCAAAAACTTCTCATGAAAAATTTTCAAGTATTCGGGCTGATCAAGTATTATTCTGAATATATTCAAATGTCCCCCAAAATCATGTCTCTCAGATATTCACTCACGATACCAGGTTCATCAGAAAATGTTTCAAATACCATCACTATAAATAATCAACAATCCAAATCACATCCCTAAGATATTTACTCATATCTATGCGACTCATAAATTAGTTCATAACCCGGATAGTTTTCCATGTCTTCAGATTGTTTAGGTACTATTCTGAAGATATCTGTTTGATCAGATACTATTCAGAAGATCCCAAACTGTTCGACAATTCAAATAATGTCTCTCAGATATTCTCTCAGGAAACCATATGATTTCTAATGTTTCCAAGATTTTCAGGTGATCAGAGATTTTCAAAAACTTCTCTGAATATTTTTTCAATACTTCTGGTAGATCAATTAGTCTGAAGATCTTCTACTGCCCAACAATACAAATCACGGCTCTCAGATATTCTCTATCATATTCGTGCTAAAATCGCCCAAGCAAACAAACTTTACACACGCACACATGTGTAGGGATGAATTGAATAGAGATCTCCAAGCGCAATCTCACGAACACTAAAATCCAACATCCATACGTAAAAACGAAGAAGAAGAAGAAGAAACAAAAAGGTATCGCGATATCACAACTACTTTAAAAGGTAGCGCGCGGTCTCACGCACACTTTTGTGCATCTGGAGAACTCTATACCGACCACCTTTTAGAACTGTG